TATTTGATGTGTGATGATATGTTAAATGTTATGTAATGTGATTTGGAGTATATATATTTATAAATATATGTTGAATTGTGGTCGTCTCTTTGGTTTATTATTAAAACCAAAGGACCTGTATGAAACTCGGAGAATAGAGTAATAGGAACTTTGGACTGTCCTTGGTCTGATGGTGAAGACCTTGGGTCGTTTCAATGTGTATTATGTGAATTATGGATTTTTGAAGTCGAGCATGCTGCTGAATCTTGTTAAATTCAGTTTCGGAGTGCTACCATGACAATAACTTTACCTGAAAAACCGTTATTTTAGTTTTTAAAGAAAAACGGTTTATCACAATATAAATAACCCGACTAGTAATCGGATCAAAAGGCTAAGTTTGACAAACAGTAGAAGTCAGCGGAAACCGTAGCGTGGCAAAACATTGAAACTCCACTACGGGAGATAGTATAACAACATTGCTATGCCAAATTCAAATATGTAAAAAAAAAGCCTGAACCACCCGTCTGCTCACTCCTCCGGTCCGACTCTGTGACCTGAAAAAAAAAACATAGATAACATGGGGCGTGAGCACTAAAGTCCACTGTGCTCCGTAGGAACTCATACTAAAGTAAACAGTGAAAATAATTGCAATATCATGATCTTGGTATATACATAAACATAACATAGCATGATACCAGTAAACCATTGCCATAACATAACCGTTGCCTCATAACCGTTACCTCATCTGCCAGCATGAAAATGTCGGACACCATGTGCACACTCTAGTGGGCAGACTAGGCCACTAGAACCCAGAATGGACCGGCGACCATTCCAAGCGGACACATAACATAGCATGATACATAATAATTAAACATAATAAGGTGATTAATTAATAAGTTAGTCATGTTTAAGGCATTAAAGCCGTGCACAATTCTCCCAAATAATTCATTTTACCGTGGGCATAATTGGTGGATATGTTGGGAGAAATTTGACCTTCTATTAGTATCATGAGGTGGCAAGTTATAAGGTGATTAGTCATCCCTAAATTACCATCTAATCTCCAAGTGTCATTAGCTCCTTTAACCACCAAATCAACTCATCAACCTCACTCCCATTCGGTTGATATATATATATATATTGGAGTTGGAGAATTTTTCCTCTCATTTCTTCATCTTATATATTCCATATAGTTCAGCAAAGCGAGTTAGTGAGGTTGAGAGGGAGATAGCACCGCACGTACGTTAGCCACCGCATAGC